ATAAGTAGACAAATGCTGCGCCAATGCTGAAACAAGTCTAATAAATGCTACAATAGGTTTTTCACCTTCATATCATGAAGTATAAAAGCATCTTCTGATGGTTTATTATTATAATTTGGGCGGCGTATGGCTGCTGATGACCTTTTGCAAGACTAAATGAATTGGTGTAAAAATGAGTCATTATATTAATATATTTTTATCTAGTAATTTTTAATAAATCGGATATTTGAAGTAATCATTCTTAAATAGAAGAGCAAAAGATTAATTTGATTGGGCAGAAGCAAATTATTATACCTGATAGGCCTGTTTGGAGCAGTGATGAAAAATATTTATAAACATGTTTTATGTAAGTTAAGAAAAAAAATTTCTCACGTATTTACTTTCTACTGAGTAAATTATAATTAAAAAATTATTTATAATTTATAAGTTACTCTAAATAGGTTCACTCTATTTAAAAAAAAGGTTATTTCTTCTTTTCTCTCTCTCTTTTTTTTTTTTTGGGACCAGCCTTCCTTCTCTCAGTTTGCTATCCATTTTACGAAGCATAAAGCTGAGATAGCCTTCCGAAGTCGTGCTGCCCGCAGAGGGAGGGGGGGTCAGAGGCAGAGAGAAGTGGACCCACCAAGCCCCCCTCTGCCTCGTGCTCCTCGTTTCTAGATTGGATTGGATGGGCGACATCACAGCACCTGGGGCTGGGCGAGGCCGCATGCGAGTACTGGTATTTATTTATTTATTTGTGTCCGTTTTAATTGCTGGAGGCTTTTTTTCCCAAAAAATGTAATCTATACTCCCTCCGTTCTTTATTATAAGAGACATTTGATGCTTATAGCATGTTCTTATATATAAAAGACACTTAAAAGTTGTCTCTACTTTTTTGTGTTGATTTCCTATTTTACCCATATTTATTGTCTCCAATTCATTCTCTCTCTCCCTCCCACTTCTCTTTCTTTCAATAATTTAATTGTTCTCTCATGCTCTCTCTCCTTATTAATGAGGGTATTTTTAGAAAAAAGATTATATTTTTTACACATTGATTGTTCTTAACTAATTTTAACTTCTTTTTTTATCAACGTAATTCGATTATTCGTCTCTTATAATAAGGAACGGAGGGAGTATTTTCAAAATCATCTTATTTTTTCATACGTACCCTTCATTAATACTTTTTAGCGCACACTTAAAATTCCCGAAACGGTCGAGAAGATAATTATGCACCTAATAAAAGGACCTCGGTGATTTTTTATTGAGCTTATGTAGTGGATTCCTGGAGCTCGCGAGCTGCTTCAACTCTCAAGGCTTCTACCCTTGCCCTGGGCGATCTGTGTCAGTAGAAATGGGAGAAAATTGTGAAAGCTGTAGATCATGGGTAGACGACATTTACTGGACCCGTTTCCAATTCGTCCATTTTGCCCACTATCTTCCCAAGGGCTTTGATCGACAGCTTGTAAGTCTCTCTTCCTCTTCCTCTTCCTCTTCTTTTCTGTCGCCGATCACATAATTGGCCCACCCACTCGATCATACAGATTTCATTACATATGAGTCTTAGTCTGTAATTTCAGTGCACGCTTCCCGTTGTTTGCTTTCTTCTCATCCTCATACTTCCAGGGGTTCCGATATTACCTTCCTTTTGTTTGGCCCCCTTTCTTCCTCGCTTTTCTTTGCAGTATGTCGAATTGCCCTCTTATTTTTCTTTCTTGCTTTTTACCTTTTTCTACCTTTTTTAACCTTTATGACCTTAAGATCGATTGTTATCTCGTGAGTCCATCTATGTCTTCGCGAAGAGACCACGGTTTCTCTGCCTTTGTTGGTTCCTTTTTACAGTCCCAGCGTTTGTAGAAATCTCTGTAGACACTATAATGTGGGGGAAAGAGAATAAGAGTTCCAAGAGAGACAAAAGTGGGTAAAAAGAAAAGATTGAATGGGGAGAGAGCAAATGTGTGCATGCGTGTGTGTAGTTGTCCTAGTACTAGAATCACTGACAATACCCGTAAAATGTCTAGCGGCCGCTTTTCTGATAGATAATTACTTGCTTCAGTTGCTGAAAAAACTTCATGCTATCTTCAGATACTACGCGATAGTACCATGTGATCAGAAATATGTTCTGTAAATATTTCTCTTCAGCGTGTTGTATCTTATTCTCAAATATGCGAATTGAATTTTATTGAATAAAAACTGCAGACACTGCCCAGAAGTTTTTCAGATAATTTGAGAAAGAAATTGCCAGATAATGTAACTCTGAGAGGTCCTGGTGGCGATGAGTGGAGTGTTGGATTGACAACCACAAATGATACCTTGCATTTCACGCACGGCTGGCAACAATTTGTTGAAGATCACTGTTTGGAAGAGAATGATCTCCTGGTCTTCAAGTACAATAACGAATCGCAGTTTGATGTTCTAATATTTGGCTGGGGTGGCTCCTGTGAGAAGGCTGCTTCTTATTTTGTTAGGAAATGTGGGCATACAAATAAGAGAATCAGAGGTAACCGTTTGAAAGAAGTCAATTTCCGCTCTAATATTCCCACTGAACATGCTTCGCCTGAGAAGTTTGTGCATGGTGAGAGCATGGGAGTGCCGGCTGTCATCCCTTCTGAAATTAGTAGCAAAGAGGCCCGTGATGCTGGTGTGGAATTTGCCTCCCCTGTGACAGCAATTCCAATGGCAGTTGCGGATGTCCAAACTAAGCAGAGGGGAGGAACCAGAGGATCTAAAACGCGCACGGACAGAGCTAACTTGATTGCTGGTAATAATTTCACTCAATGTGACGCAGGGCCTAGACCTTTTTGCTGTTCTTCTATCTTTTTTCTCATTAAAAAAAACCTGTAACATGTTCTTATGGAAGGGACGATAATTTATTGAAAAGTAAAGGAATATAAAAAACCAAGAACAAGAAGTCTTCCCAAAACAAAGAAATACAAATTACAAACTCATTATCAGTTATAAAAAGAGGTAATTCATGAGTTCAAAAGAGTCTCCTAATCTCCTGGCATATCCACAAGGGATAATCATACCCCTCAAATAACTCTCTCTCCAAAGAGATGTAATGGAAGAAAATAGACAACTGCCGTTCCTGCATAGTCAGAATAACGGACAAATAGAAGCATCCCCAAATTAAAAAAGAGAAATAAGTTTCAAACAGTAATGGAATCAGTATTTGATGTGAAATCTGATTTTGGTCCTGATAATGGTGGTCAATGAATTTGTTAGATGCTGAACCCTCATCTGCGAGCAGAAGTAAGACGAATGAAATTTATATTTCAAACAGAAGACCTGTTACAGAAGATGAGAAGACGACTGCCCTCCAATTAGCTCAGGCAGCATGTACTGACCAGGGTTTCTACATAATCATGCGTCCCACACATGTATACAAGAGATTCTATGCGGTAATCTGTTGCTTTATAACCTTATTTTCCTTCTTAGGATATTCTAAAGCCTTGTTTATGTAATTTCGGTGGCATGGTATTCATAATGTTTGATGTTGATCTGGGCATTATAAACTGCATTGTTGTTTCTTGTGGCACGCCAGTCAATCCCTAGCAAGTGGTTAGCGGAACATCTTTTTCCTCACTCTGAAGACGTGATATTGCGCACGGGAGGGAATGAATGGCATGCCAAATACAGCTTTGAACATGGTCGTCGAACTGGAGGACTGACTGGTGGATGGAAACAGTTCGCTCTGGACAATAACCTGGAAGAATTTGATGTGTGTGTGTTTGAACTAGTTGGTCAAGGCAAGCCATTGATCATGGATGTGACAATATTCAGAGTTATTGAGGATTATTCTCCTCTGCAGAATGTGAGTTATGGAGGCAAACGGGGTCCGAATTGCATCCAATCATGGGAGTCGATCCTTAAATCTCGCGGATCATTGTATTTTTGAGGATGTGTACTAATGTAATCTTGGGTTGTAAACTAAATGGTAATTTTTTTTTCTTTTTATATATGATAATCTTTCGCCCGCAGACCATGTTCAAGTTTTATTTGTGTCGTTGGGATGAAGTGGACTGGACAATTTTCTATGGGTTTGTTGAATATGAAGTGGAAAATTTGTTCAAAAAATGTCTTGGTTACGTAGTGTTGTTTAGAAAGAAAAGAAATGTTCTTTTTTAGCCAAGCACAGGTATTTTTTTTATTGGAGAAAATTATGTTCAAAAGCACTGTTAAGTGGGTATCCTCCCTCTTAATAAAAAATTTTGGAGAAGAAAATATCAATAGGCCACAACTACGAGGGCTTATCTTGTGTTTTGGTTGAATGATTTTGCTTGGTTCTTTTAGCACAAAATTTTATCGACCAGGTACTAATTATCATGTAAATTATGTGACGATGACATCTCTACGGTTGTGTCCCATTCCCAATCTGGGCTGTTCAACAATCTGTCGCTTTTGTAGCCCCAAAAAAGGAAGTGGAAAATTGACGCTTCTTTTTTGGGTCAGAGGAAACTTGACGCTTAGATGAGATGGGACCGCGGTCTAACATTTTTCAACGCACCGTTTTGCAATCAGGACGGTACCCTTGGCCTTAGATAGAGAGTGAACGCGAATTAATAATTCATTTTTAAAATTAATTCTTTGATCATTTCAAGTAGGCTTTGTGTAAAATGATTGGCACTTGTCTCTCTCTCTCTCTACACATATATATATGAGATCATGCAGTTTCTTTGTCTTTGAGAAGGTTTAACTCATGGGGCTGCCTACGCCGACTGAGACATTCCTTGGTAAGATGAAGTCACTGTGCATCATATAATCGGATGCCCCCCCCCCCCCCAAAAAAAAAAAAAAAAATGGTAATCCTTCATAAAAGCTCGGTCCGCACAATGTCGCGGTGCAGGTTGGGTTTGAACGCCCAAAAACAAAGCAGGGTTATGTATTTGTTGGTAATATATCTACAACAAAAGCCGTAATTGCCTCCTTTGAGTTGAGTTCGTGCGCACATTAGCACAACAAACAGAAGAGGAGCGGTTGTTGCGAAACATGAAAGAAGATTCTTCCAAAAATCAATTTCGAAGTGATCAACAAAGTTGATGCCTCAAACCCTAAGCAACTCACGGCACAACTCCAAATTCACAAAACTCTAATTTTCATTTAACTTCTCGCAAGAAACATAAAAATCAAATATATCAAGAAATTGTAATTGATATATCTAAAGTTGGTAAAATTTAAACGGCAGGGCAGCTACCGTCTGGTGCAGAGATTGGCTCATCAACACACTGGCCAGAAATAAGTTAAGCACAGTTTAACAATAATCTTAATGGCATTTCTCTGATTCTGGTCATGATAGGTTCTCATGCTGAAGGCCTCTGACATGCAGCAAAGAGCTGCCAACTTAAAATAGCCATTACCAAAGATGTGAAAAGTTCAAACCCTACGACCTTCAGTAAATGCCACCCCAAGCCTCGCCTCAGATAGCTGCACAACGGCAAAAGAGTTTAGACAGCCCTATAATGGATTATGGCCAACAAAATGCTCTAAACATATGGACCATAAAAAAGTGCAAATTGATCACTGAGACTAAACTTTATGACTTCTAGGTACCCAATCACCATATCCATGATGCTTTACGACTGTTCATCATATCCTAATCAACTTTATACAAGGGAGAAGTGGAGATAGTAATGGATAGTATCAATATTCCCCAGAGAAAAGTGAACTAGAGGCTTATGTTCAATGAGAGGTCCTATGCTCATTTTTTTATTTAAAACCATGTACTTACAGAAAAATAGTTTGCCCTACTATAAATTCAGAGGGGGGGAAAAACTTGTTAGCCAAACAGTGATGAGACAGGAAATACCTAGTGATGGATGGCATGGTAGCCACAATCCCTGCACACAAATATATTATAGGAATCAGAGTCTTGGGTTTATTCTTTCGGAGCCACATCAAAGATCCTAGTGCCGCAAGAGATATGCTCAAAACCTGTACAGATCACGAGCAAAAACTCAGTTTAAATAATTATGTACTACAAATTTGAGAATAAGTAGGAGCATATTTGCCTGAAGCAACTGACCTCCAGTTTCATCATTTCAACCAACACAGAATCCCACAATCATCAATACGAACCATAAAATTTATATCAAATTGAACTAATTTATGAACAATGAGGTTCATTCATTCCTCATCCTCCATGCAAAAAACACAGGGCATCATCCAGCAGCCAGAACATGTGCATTTGAACTCTTCCCTTTTCTTTTTTTTAAAAAAAAAGAAATCTCACATTAAATCGATGAATGTACCAGGTTTGCATTAGCCTCTAGGCCTTGCAGAATGTAATCCCAAGTAAACTCTAGTCCTCTTGCGCCCACCCAAAGGGGTGCCAATCTATGCAGTACAGAATCCGCAAACGCCCATCCTGCCACAAGAGATGAATTGAAGAGATAGAAGAATCAATGCACTTCTCAAGAGATGAATAAACATAGACATCTTTTTTATCATATAAGATGTGACACCCTGTCCACTCACCTAGGCCAACTGCTTGAAATTTATGATTTTGAGAGATGTTTCTGTGAGTCAACTGGGTCAAGGCAAAATAAAGCCCAGCAACATCTATGAAGCCTATTAATGCCTTCAGACATTCCTGGGAGAAAAAATAAGCCACTTTTTATCACTCATAATCATTGTAAAGGTATTAGAGGTGCACAATAACTTCACAATGGCATCCATGGGATCAAAGGTGCTGTCTCAACTTCTTTCGATTCAAAGAACAATTGTATGCTTAGCAAAAGTTTACAACAGAACTACCCTGCTAAGATTGTTTCTCCGCAAGCCCAAAACCCTATATTGACACCCCCACGAAGGGGAACCTCGCAGTCATTGGTAACAGATTCTAGCTTTTAGACCATTGGTGACATCCTTGTGGTGAATCCAAGGTCTTCAATTAATTAGGTATCAAGATCATGCTTTTAAGGAATTTCCAAAAGAATATCTAGCTGCCTTACGTAAAAGTACAGGTGCCTAAATGCATGCATAAATAGATAATAACACAATGTAGAAACATACCTGATAAGGATCAAAGCTATCGCTCTCAGATACCTTGAGAAAAGTTGCGAGACAAACGAGCTGCCAACATAAGCAAAACAAAAGAAAAGAGACACACATAATCTTACTTTGTGCAAATATTATTTTGATACATAGACCAGAAAATTCAGTACATTTCCCAACCTTAACTAATGCTGTCGCGAGATAAACACAGCTGCTTTGATAGAAGTACCAAGGTGTCATACTCAGATCTGCACATGTAAATTGTCACATGATCAGCAAACAAAGCACAATAACTACTTTTTTCTGTTGTGTTGCCAAAGAAGAAAGTAAATAATTCTGAGATGATTCAACTCAAGAATATTTAATTAATGCCGTGCTATTGCTTACAAGTTTACAACTACGAGGCCTTGATCACATAGCAGGAGCAACTTTTGAAGAGTATTTGATATTTAAAAGCAATGATACAGAAAATTTCAATCAGGCATTCATCGGAACTAGGCTGTCCAACTTTCGGTTTGAGTTTTTTAAAATAAATATAAAAAATAAAAACCTTCAGCTACTAAGCAACAAACTCATTGGAAAATGAACAACATCTAGATCATGAACATAGCCAAACCGTTTAATGATCTGTTTCACGCATGGAATCCCATCTGCAATTCGTGAGCAGGAACCAATTTGAAAAATGAACTTCTCGGATAATATCACCGTGCGTTTGGATATTCTATACATAAGCAGCTACACTAACCAAAGGGAAAAAAAGGTCCGTCTAGGGCACTATGAAGAGGGACGAAAAAAACAAAGGACAGTAATTCAGCGGTAAAAAGTAAGACGATAGGGCAAAATTATAGAACTTGTCAGAGGATCGATAGGTATAAATTTGCATCTTCAAAAAATTAGATCCCGAATTTGGGAAAAAAGAAAAAACGAAAACAGGGATAGACATAAAACCAGATTAGGGGATGAAAGCAAGAAGGAAGGAATGAGGTAAGGGAGATGGATCTATGAGGAAGAGACTTACAAGGGAGTAGCAGAATAATAAAGGGTGCGTGTCCGGGCCGAAGGTAAGAATTGCACAATTGAAAAAATGAAACAAGGTCATTCTTCTCTGTCGCCGATGAACGCCCGCGGAACAGCGGCAAGACACAGGTCCATTGAAGCACAACAAGAGAAGCCTCAGTTCACCCTGTGATCTCAATGTAGCAAGCTGCGACTGATGACGTAGTAATTGACTTCCCTAAAAACTCCTCCCCCGTCACGTTTTTTTGTAACCAACAGCTGCAGTTCTCATATATTTCTAAATAAAAGTAATGTTTACAAATTATTTAAGTTTTTGTGATAAATTTTTTATTTTACTTTTATTAATTATTTATTAATACTTAATATATTTATTATCTTATTTCTCTCAAATCATCATCTCTTTCCATCCACATTCTCTCTCTTTTTATATTTTTTTTACTCTTTTTCTTGTATCCTCACTCTTCTCATAAATAAAGATATTTTAGAAAAATTATTTATAATTTCTACCTATTTAATATTTTTAACTAACCTTTTGATTTATATAATAGAGTTCAACGTCTCTTATAAAAAAAGGCGGAGGAAGTCCACATGAATAGTTTTTTTTTTCCCTGTAAAGAAAATAGTTCCATAAAAAAATCATATTACCTTGATTACTTGATAATGAATGGGGAAAAACAGTTTAGCCTGTCAACAAGGCCGGAAACATGAGAGTTGCGTTTTTCGGCGGCTAAACGGGTCACGGAATTTGGGCTTCCAAAAGCATAGTTTTTGTTTTTATTTTAGACTTAGCAGACCTGAGGTCACCCCAACATAACATTTGGGGGAATTCAGACGTGGGCTTCATGATTTGGGCTTCGGAAACCGAATATGAAGACAGTTGAATTTATTGTGTAAAAGTTGAAAATACACGAACCTGATTAAACATCAACTTTGAAATTGTCGTGGCGGCGATAATTTGCCAAAGGCCAGAAGTGATAGAACTTAAAGGGACCATCATCTGGTGGTGGATGGGCACTCATTTGAAGGCAAACCACATTCTATGTGGGATTCATGCTATATACTCTTCTGATCCTATTTATAAGACACTTTCAGTATATTTTATATAGACTAAGAAAAATTTTAAACTTCATTAATTTTCATCTAAAATTTAATAACTTTCTAACTTGATCGCTATTTAATATATATTATACCTAATGTAAACAAAATCAACATAATAGTAAATGAGGGATAAAATTGTACAAATATAAAAAAAATTTCTCTCAATGTCCTATAAATATGACCAAAAAAACGTCTTTTCTCTGTGCTATAAATACAACCATAGGAGTATCATGTAAGGATGATGATTATGAAGAATCCATGCCTGGACGTCTTTGGAAGGGATTTGTGCTGAGTTGGAAAAGTTTGACTCCGAAGGGCTAAGAAACAGGGAGGAGGTGATATGCATCTATGCATGCATGCAAATTAAGCTCATGGCAGATGGAGGGATGATCCACGTCAGATTCCAGGCCTGCCTTGTTCCCAATGTTTGCATGCCGTGAGTTTATCACTGGGCGTAAATTGATAGCTGAGCTCGCATGCATTCTCATCTCACCTCCCCTGCTTACTTTTCTTATCCTTAAGTCAACAATCGGAGATTGGCTGGAAACACAAAATTCAGCAAGTGGGCAGACTTCTTGCCCAACGACTCATAGTGCGGCAAAACTCTCTTTACTATCTGTCCTTTTCTATGCTTCTCATCAACACTAATTATACCTTTATATCGAGCTATCCTAGCTACGAACTCTACAATATGAGCAAGCGGGCACCTATCACCTCACCCAAGTCAACAACGACGACAATTCGGTTGGCCTTTTCTTAATTTTGCTATGAATTCTCTGTAACTAGTCACACCTTAGTACTTAAACTGCGTATATACGAGTGAAGAATCAACTAGGCCACAAAAAAAGATGCGCAACAATATAATAATGTGTCTGTGCTCGACGTCCAAAGATATATATAGTTCCATTTCAAGATTTAATTTGCCTAATTCATAACTTGATCAGTTAGGCAGAGACATTTCCCCCGCCCCCCCCCCCCCCAAAAAAAAACCACAACAAAAAAGAAAGGAACGAAAGAAGAAAGAGGGCCATTGCCCTTCTAGAAATGACAGAATTTGTCAGATTAACAGAAACGAAAAGATAAGGTAGTGAACATAATCCACCAAATCAAGATGAGAATTTCAGCATGTATGCTACACTGTTTTGCTTTTACATCGGCCATCTGCCTGTCAAGCTGAAACCAAAGCGGGCAAAAATAATTCTTTGAAGAAGCTGTAAGTTGTCAATTTTTGGGGAGATTTTATTGGTTAGCTGACGATATTATGAATTTTGTCAAGTGAACATGGCAAGTACTGGAATGAAAGTGAAGAGAAAGGGAAGTGGGGAATGAAAGTGAAATGAGTGTGCAACAAAAAACTGAATGGAGGCACATGACGATCTGTGTAGTGATGGGAGTTGTCCTCTTCTGACACCATGCAGATGCTCTTATATGCACTTTGCCTATGCAGTCCACTCACCATACTTGTGTATTTTAGCACTTCTAATCCCTCTGCCCTAACACGTACCTTTTTCACATTGGTCCACATTCCCATTATTACTTCTCCCCACGAATTTACTTATATGTACACTCTACCCACTACTTTCCTTTGTTTCCACTGCAAGCCCGCACCATCTTTATCCTAGCACCTTCCCACACTCTGTCGGCTCGAGCCGATTCATACTAATAGTTATGTACATGACTCTGACGATGTGTGATGATCAAGTTCTCAAATATGACATCGTGATCCCACTTAATTACAGATTCGAGTA